CAGGATACGGGCGAGGCAGTGGCGAGTCAGGGGAAGGCAGGGATTGGGGCAGCGATTGCCATCCGTCGAGGAAACGCACTTCTCCTGCGCCGCTCGCGAGTGGGCCTGCAAAATGAGGAACGGCGTCAGGCGGTCGTCTGTCTCGCTTTCTTTTTCAACTTCCGCTTCCCAACGGCACAACCGAAGAGAAAGAAAGCGCGCAGAGGCCGACTCGTCCGGCCGGCCCTTAAAACCAAAGGCGCCCACGTCCGATCCTCCGGCGCGATGCCCGTTGACGCGGCCTCCCCTCGTCCCATTCAAAGGATCCGGATCGCGATGTGGGGCTTCGCGGAGCCCGTCGTTTCAATCGGGCGCGCGGGAGGAGGGCCACGTCTAAAACATGCGCGACGGGGGCTTCCCCGCGACCGGCCTTGGGCGCCCCCGTCCAAAGTGCCACTTTTCTCCGCTGCGGGTGAAGACGGCGACGCAGCAAACCACCTGGCCCGACGGGTACATATGAACAAAAATCTTGTCAGCAAACGCCCATCGATATGATTTGAGTAAAGCGCACGGTGCGATTGGCAAAAGGAACCGGCGCAGCGCCTTAGCCGATGTTGCTTTACGTCCGAGCGGGTGGACAATACTCATCTCCATCGTTTGCCAATTCCTCAACTAAACTGTGACCCGGTGTTGTCATTTAGTAGGAAATCAATAACGAAAGCTTCGGCCTTATTCCTCCAAATTTTTCAAGGAGTATTTTCCGAAAACGTCCCGATGTTCAACCGCTGTTGAAAATGGCAAAATGGCTGCCAGTCAAAAAGTCATCCGAATCCGAATCCAAAATCTATCCGGATGCGAGAAGGCGCGCTACAGACGTGGATTTTGTCCCGCCTCCGTACGTTGCGTTTGAAAGGCGAAGGCCGATGAACGAACGCCGGCTCGACGTGCGAACGCGTGCAGGGGGAAGCGGGGGAGATCGGGCCAGCACCTGCGGAGCCCCCTCGGTCACCGTCTGTCTGCGCTCCCTCAGCTGGCGGTGCAGCAGCGCTTCCGCGCCGTAGCGCCGGCGGTAGCGACGCAGAGCTTTCAGCTTCTTCAGGTTCTCCCTCTCCTTGGCGGACAGGCCTTCGGGTCCGGTCAGCAAACTGCTACCTGTTGTCGAAAACCAAACGCCCGGTCGGGACGCTGACATTTTGCGGGGGGGGATCGGCCGCGACTCAATATTTACCGATGGTTTCGTGCTCGATTTTGCGGTTGTGCAGGTATCGGCGCTTCTTTTCCTTGAGCAGATGCTGGAGGCGTTTGAATTGGTCAATGTAGAGCGACTGCAGTCTGATGAGTTTCTCTCGGGTGAAGAGCGCCACCTCCTCGGCAGTGTACACGCCAGCATGTCTGCGGGGGGCACCGAGGACACGTCGCAATCAGCGGCCCAAGATTGGAATACTTGTCAAAAGCAAACACCCGTCCGGCATCGTCTTCCCGAGCTACTTTGCAAAGGTCGGTAAACGAAGCGACGGGCGCCAACCTCGAAGGCGCGTATTCATCCCCACGTAAACCTCGGATGTCCCCCCCAACCCCCACCTTCCCTCTCGAAGCTCCGCCGCGCCTCAGGTCTGCGGACACTACAAGAGGTAGCGAGAGCTAAGCGGAGGCTTCGACGGGATGGAGCCTTTTGCGTTGGCGCGACACTCTTTGGAATCGACGCGAGGCGAGCCCCCTCGTCATTTTTATTCTGTGGCTTTGGACTCGGCACGAAACTTGCTTTTTAGTTGGATTGTTTTTGTGCTTTCTACCGTCTTCTGAATTCATTGTTGCGTGACTTATTCTTGCCCCACGTACGGCACTTTGTACGCAACGGCGCTTGTTTTCAAGCGCTCTCTCCAGAAATACACTCCAGTTGTGTTGAGACTCCAAAGTTTCTACCCGTCCTAAAAAGCTGATGGCCGGCCGGCCGCTGGCCGGCTCGACAGCAAATACCGCGACGACGGAAGACTCCGCGAGAGGTCCGACAAGCAGGATAGGTGCGTTCGGTGAAAGCAAGCCGGTAAACTTCAAGATGATGCGCAAAAAGATCCAGATTGCTATTGACAACGATGGAAGTTAACGGAGGCTACGGTAAGTGGCGGCCGAACTGAAGAGAGGGTCTGTTAGCCTACGTCATTCCAAAAATAAATACATCCATCAAAATGATGGGAGCACCTCCGTTTTTTGGCAAAATGGCAAACAGGAAAGTTTTTTTTAAATCGTCACTTGACCCTCCAACATTAAGAAAACGTGCGCGGACGAGCAGCAAGCGAAAACGAATGGCGTCAAATGGCGAAAGGCCTTTGGGGTTGACATCAAGGTGGCAACCTCAAGCTTCTGAGGCCACGCTTGCTCAGAGCTTCGCTCGGCACCGAACAACAAACACGGGTGGGAGCGGCCGTCTTACTTGAGCGGATCCTCGTGGTCGCTGTCGATGCTGTCGCCCTCACTTTCGGGGTCTCCTCTCCACGTCTGATCCAGTACCAGCGGACCCTGTTCTTCCTCACTCATTGGACTGTCCTCATCTGGATGCAACGGAGGACAGGCATGACAACAGTGCCCCAAAGTGAAATGTCAAAAACGCTCCGACGCTTCTGCGTTCCAAGCCCGGCCGCGCGGCCTTCGCGCGCTGGCCGGCATCCTGCCACATTCCAAAACAATTAAGACCCAAAACTGTAGAAGGCGAATGCCAGCGCGTGCTAATTTGTCTGAATGCGCCCTCATTTGACTCATCCGATTTCGACGGCAGGCGGCACGGCAGTCGACTGGCTAGCGCGTCCGCCTCACAGCGCGGAGGTGCGGGGTTCAAATTCGGGCTGCCGTTTTGCTGCTCGGAGCTCTCGCGTGCTCTTCCCCCGTGCCCGTGTGGCTTTCCTCCCCATCCCCAAAACGCGTGCGCTCGGTTGACGGATCAATTCCCCCAAAACCTTGCCCCCGGGTGTGGTCGCGAGCGCGAGCGGTTGTTCGTCTATGCGTGCCCCTGGCGACCAGTTGAGGGCGTCCCTCGCCTGCTGCCCCAAGACAGCCGGCACAGGCTCGGCGGGCACGCCCGCGACCCTCCTGAGGAGAAGCCGTTCGGGTCATGCGGTGGCCTTTGCTCATTTTGCTGCTTGCGTTTTCGACATTCAGGTGTCTCGTGGTTTCTTTGATTCAGCCGGATGCACGTGACGTTTGGAAGGGCCGACAAAGGGAGCGCCGAATGGTCCGTTTTCGCTGCGCCGATTGCTGCCGAAAGGTAGATATCGTGTGGTGACATTGCGCTGATTTCTCCTAATAGTATTGCATGGATGGCACCGTGTTACCAGCTGAGCCCAACAGGGAAAGCAGGACCCGGCGCTCTATTACGGCGGGCACACGGACAGACCAAACGAGAGCCCCTCCCCCCGTCATCTCGTGGAAGACTGGCGGCGACAAGCCTTTACCGAGAAGGCGACCGGCTTCCGAGCGACCGCCATCGAGGCCGCGCGTCTCCGCGCGGCTGTATCCGCTCAGCTGGGACAAGAGCGCCTCTGGCGACGGGCCGGACGACGCCTTCCTCATCTGAGCGCGGAGGGCCACGGCGTTGCGGCGGGCGTGCTCGGCACAGAATGTCACCCTTCAAAACAAAGAGAGACAGAAAGCCAAGACGCGGCGGACGACAGAGTGAGTCGTGGCGCCTGCAAACGTAGAATCTTTGCGTTCAATGGAACGGGCGCAGATTACGGAAAAGGAGACTCGAGCGGCTGGGTGAGGTGTACGCCAAGACACCCAATCTTTTTCACATCCGTAATATGGAAGCGTAGCATGTTTTGGACGTCGGGCCAATACAATTGGTTACTTGTTCTCGACTTGGACAAAAGGGCACCGCTTACCCGTCTTTCCTCTCGACCTTGGGCGCGGCATTGGGGCAGCGTTTGCCATTCTTAGCGGAGACGTAATTGCACTGCTTGTAGGGGGCGCTTTTGTCCTCCAGAACGTGTTTGATGCAGAAATCCAAGCCGTCCAGCCGGGGCTGCGAGCACAGACGCTGGGCGAAGGCGCAAGTCTGAGCCTCCTGCGGACGCGCCGGCTGCGGGGTCAGTCGGTTGCGACTGCTCGGCAAGACGTGGATTCGGATCCTGTTCATCGCGACCCTGCCAACAGGTTCACAACAACGTACTTATAAAAAGCGGCATCGCAGTTTGTTTCGTTCGTTAAAACGCTCACTTGGTCGTCAGCGTGGCTCAATGGTGAGTTACGTTTGTGTTGTATGGTTTCTTACGTTTAGAATAATGAATGATGATGACGATAATACATAGTGTGAAATCATGGTTGAGTGATTTAGTTTATACATAATTTAATTATATACATATTTACATTGTGATGCATAAAGACAGATATCTTCATTTTGTTACATTTATGTGTACTTTAGGTTATTACCTGCTACTGCTTCTGCTGCTACTTCTACGACTGCTGCAAAGTGCTTCAATAAATGATACAAAAAAGTACATTACGGTGCTGACTGACGATCCCTATTTAGAGGGCCGTGAAAAACGGGAATGAGTGAACAGAGACCTTGCTTAAATCCAAATTGTCCAATTTCAGCTTCTCAACATCAAATCTTCTCTGATTTCTGCAGTCCTCCTTGAAAGCAGATGGCTTTTATTGGCGTTGAATTAAAATAGGACTTATGTAAACATCCGGTGTGACTTTGGAAAACAACGTGCAAAATTCAATGACTGGTTCGGTCCATAAGAGACGTCAGAATAACGTGCAAAGATGGGTTTCGTTATTCCAAAGTCAAAGCAAAATTAACAGTAAATGCCTGTGCTAGCCAATGTCCTTTTTCGATTCCACAAGACATTCTCAGTCGGCTTTCGTGGATGACTCCTGATAATATTATAATATGATATAGACGGAATTCTGAAGGTTTGGACAATTTTAACGTGACGTTTTGACGGACGCGGGCGACGTAGGACGGCGGACAGGACACTACGCCAACAAAGGTCGGAAGGCGTGGAGGACTCGTTCGTAAAATTCCATAGTAACAAAACAGGGAAAGTTGCCGTGTTTTGCTCGGTGGGCTCTTCCCGAAGGCCCAACCGAGCACGCCGCATTTCAGCCCGGCCTCTAACCCCTTGATGCGGCTATCTATACTTTCATAAAAAGTCACAAGTATCATATATATTATATATAAATTATATTCCTTGGGTACAGCACTTTTTACATCGCTTTCCTATTTGCTGTATGTGGCACATTTGTCAATAAAGTTTTATATAAATATGTATTTTTGCGTTTTAAAAGTCATATATATTTATTTTTTTCAGTGCGTCACTCTCTGATGGCAGCGCCATCTTTGCTAGTCGTAGCTAAGCTAACGCTCGATATCTTCAGGTTGCGGCCAACACTTTGCGCCTTTCTGTGCCCGTGAAGCACAGTAACGTCTCACAGAGGGCGATAATTATCCCCGTGACAATAGGACGGGTTTATCTGTCCGTTTGGAGCGAATAACCAACTGCGTCACGTACCTCTCTCCGAAAGATCTGCAGTCACCGAGCCGCTGAAGCACAATGAAGCGCCACACGTTTACTACGACGAACCAGAAGTTAACTTAAGCCCGCCCCCCGACAGCGCTGATTGGTCCAAGTGCCTTCACTTCAATTGTGCTCACTTGTCTAAAAGGCTGCCAATTCAACGTGGCAGACGCTTTATTGTCTTACAAAACCGCTGTTGTAATGAAATCACGAAACATATCTTAAAATATTCCCTTAAAGTATGTATTGACTTTAATATGGGAAAAAAAATATAGATATAGAGAGAGGGAGAGAGAGAGAGAGAGAGAGAGAGAGAGAGAGAGATGTAAACGCAAGTGTTCACATACAACAGGTTACCTGGAAGAACTTCCGCTAACACGTCATTGACGACCAGTCCTGGGTACATTACAAAACTCTAAAATGCGGGGAAAAGCTCTGGTAAATAAAGTGATTTGCATTGCTGTGTTGCATGGCAGTTGTAAGGTTAAATGTTTTTTTTTGTTTTTTTAACACAACCAAAACAAAGTTAGATTCGCACTTGCATTGCAGAAAAACCGCAGTGCAACTTTTCAGTGCATTTACTCTCTACAGATATAAACATGATTAAAACATCGTTGTTTGTTTTGCGGTCAAAACCATGAAGCTGATGTACAATCTAAAATATATAAAAGAGGTCATTTGTTGCCCAGCTGAAAACCACAGCCGGTGTTGAAACACAACAAGATTGACTCGCTCCATCCTGGTATGGAGCAGACCAACAGATGATGAACCATCCTCCTCTTCGTCCTCACAGGCAAACAGGATCGTTCTTGACAGAAACAGTCCTTGGGGCTGAACAGGTTAGTTCAGCGTACAACGCAAAAGGAGCAAGACATCAACTTGAATATGATTACATCAGACCAGCATCAGCTCCCAGGCAAAAACTGGATTTCCACCGAGGGGAAGAGAGGACCAAAAAAAAAAAAAACATCCTCCAAGAGGAAGGCCTACACCAAAGACAGCCAAGAGTTGGTTAATCAATAACTTGTTATGGTCACCCTCATCCTAAATCGAAACCTGACGAGAGAAATTCCAAGGTTAAACCATTCAAAATCTTTTCCAACCCTGCGCCAAAATCGGCATAATGTGTTCGACAACTGGGAGAATTTTTGACCCACAAAACATATCTGCTCTCCGTGTCTGTCCAGAAGTATGCTGAACATCATTTCACAACCATTTAAAACAATGACTGCAATACTCGAAACAATAAAAAAAAGCTGATAATTTACATCTTGATTTTTTTTTTTTTTTAAACAAAGTGTAAAAATATGTCATGTTTTATACATTTTACAATCTTTGCACACATTTACCAAATTTGGCAAATAAACAACACGGCCATCTTTTTGGCTCACGGCTGCTTTGGAGACTGACTCAGTCACGTCTACACAGTATGTATTGATTATTATGGGGGGGTTTCAAAAAAGTGTCTATAAATGTATTCTTTGAAAGGGGCGGGAATAAACAGGATCAAACAACAACCTGTTCGTGGTGATCAAATCGAACGTCCTTAATCTCCTCTCAACCTCCGGATGTGGGGGGAGAGACAATCGCAGCCAAAGCACACCCTCCTGGGGACACGAGAAAGCTTTTCAAGCCTTTTCAGCAAAATGGCAGTAAAAATAAAACGGGATCAAAGTCATCTGCCACACATGATTCATGTGTGCTGTATGTTACGCATACATACAGCTCATTTGACAATAAAGTTGTATTCAATTCAATGATCATTGTGAAGACCTTCAAACCAAGCGAAGCAGACAGCAAGTCATTTAGGCAAGGGCGGAAGCGGGGGCGGGGGGTCTGAAGGCAGGGGCGGGGGTCTAGCGTTGCCCCCGCGGGTCCCGCCCGAGTACTTGTAGTCCCCGTATTGGGACCTGTAGTCAAAGACGGACGGCTGCGAGGGCTGCACCCCTTGGGCGCTCAGGAGCGAGTTCAACATTTCAAAAGTGTCCTGGTACTCGTCAGACTGGGCGGCGCCCGCCGCGCCGTGCCCGTTGGTGTCCGTCCTGTCGCCTTTGGGGTGCGAGTAGGTCCCCGGGGGGTGGGCGGGGAGGCCCAACGCCGGCAAGATGTCGCAGGAGGACGAGAGGGGTGGCAGGTGGTAGGGATTGCGAGAAGTCTTGCTGACTTTAGCGGCGGGATGGGATCCCGCCGGCGGGTCCTGGGGATGCGTCCTCTTGCGCGAGGACGAGGACGAGCTCGTTCGGGATGAGTCGCTGGGGACTTTTTTGCCACTTCCTACCGCGCCGCCGGAAGCGGACGAGTGCTTGTGCGAAGAGGAGAGGGAGGCGCTGCTGGAGGAAGGGTGGTGGTGGTGGTGATGGTGGTGGTGGTGGTTGTAGTGGTGGTGGTGGTTGGAGCGCTCGCCCCTGTGCTTGTCCCTGCTCTTGCCCTCCTCGGCCGAGCTCCCCCTTTGCTTGTCGGGCACGCGAATGCGCACCTTGATGTCCTGCTCCGGCCCCCGGGCGCCGCCTCCCCCGCTAAGGGGGAACCTCATCTTCAAAGAGCTGCGATCGTGTCTCTCCTTCTCCAGGGGGATTTTCAGAATAATGGGCGACGGGTTGGACGGGTCAGAGGAAGACGAGCCCGAGTGCTGCTGCTGCTGCTGCTGTTGCTTCTCCTTCCTTTGCTGCTGACCGATGAGAACCTGGGCGGCGTTGGCGTAGTCCCGCTTCACGCTGGCCTCCATGTTCTCCAACTTCCTCTTCTGCGCGGCCAGCACGTCGGCGTTCTTGGCGCGGTACTCGCTTAACGACACCTTGGCGGGGGCGTGGACCTCGTGGCCCGATGGCTGCTCGGGGCCCCCCTGGCCTTTTCCGCTCCAGGTGGGCGCGCTGCCCGGCGTCCCCCTCTCCTTGTCTGCCGCCGAGGCGGAGGGCGGCGCCGAGAGGCTCATCAGGCCCGCCACGGTGCTCTCGGACGAGGCCATGGAGATCATGCTCAACATGGCGTCCCTCTGGTCTCCCTCCTCCTGGACCTTGGGCTTGGCCTTTGGCGTCTGACCTCCTGCCTGAGAAGAAATAACAGACGGGCCGCTAAGCAAGGTTGCGCATTAACAAAACAGCATTTGTGCATGATCCCGACCAGATCAAGCAGATTTCACACCTCCGATTACGAGCGGCCCGACTGTCAACTTGTGGCACGAGCAAATGTTTATCGAAGGCCCTCTGAGATTCCAGTTCATCAAGGTCGCCTCCATTTCAAGTTTCTTCCCATGGGACCTTTCCAATTTGGAATGCAGTCGTTCCGAAGTTCCCCACTTTCACTTGCCGGGGAAATATTTACAAGGTTCTCCAGTCACCAAGCAGCCAAGGGCCACTTGGCGACTGTGTGAAGGCACGCAAAGTTTGAAAAAATTCCAAACTACGTGCAATAAACAACACGTTATTTTGAGACCTACATTTCGAGTCGCGTCCACTTAATTTGCTCCATCATCATTGATCACGACGCGGAACGGCAGCCTTTTGCCCGTCCGGTGAAACCCTTCCTTCCACAAGGGATGGCTTCATATCCATTTCAAGCCCATACAAGTCATGTTTTGTGAAAGCGCGCGGCATGAAGACGCTAAGTATGAGACTTCTTTCGTACGATCCCGACTATACGGGGCCAGTTGTGGCGGGGGCGGCAGCCAACAGGGTGCCATTCGGGACCCCGATGTCATCCCTTTGTCAGGCTCCCGGTCAGCAAGATTGCTCATCACACTGGAAACACAATTTTATGTACCTTCCAGTTGCGAATCCGTTTCAATCGGCTGGGCGTTTTCTCCAGAATCTGCAGGAACTCGTGTGTGAGCTCTGATTGAAGTCATTGAAGAAACGGGAAAAACAATGTCAGCTGGGGAGAATGACGATTCAAACATCAGAATCCAGTGTTCCCTCGCGTCTACATTTTGACAGCAAACGCCGGTGGCGAGATTCACACCGCCGACCCTTCGGTCACCCCGCGGCTACGCGAGGCGGGTCACGTTGAGGGCGAGTGAAGCCGTTTCAAAGGCCACGCCAACTTGGAGAGCCCCCGAGATTTTGGCCCGACAAGCGTATTTGCTGGCTCTGTTCAACTTGCCCGACTAACAGACCAAAGGGTCAAGTAGAAATGTTGAGGAATAATCCGAATTCTTTTTTAAAGATAAAGGAACCTTGTGCCAGTCTCCAAGGAGCTTTGGCGCACATACCATCCAGTAGCTTGAGGGTGACGGTGGGGTCAACATATTCCCACCAGTGTTTGCCATCCGTCGACACGGGAATCTCCCAGTTGGACCACTTGCAGGCCAGATGGATGCACACGCAAGCCACGACGGGCGGACTGTATTGCAGGCAGAAGGTGGTCAAGTGGAGGCTGCGCGCCAGCGTACGTCCCGGGAGAGCGAGAAAAGGGCAACAGGACAAGGGAAGGGGAACGCAAGTTCAGTGTATCGACTTGAACGGAATTGGATTTGCAATAACTTGGAGCACACACGATCGAGCCTCTACCTGTTGGTTGCCATGAAGTAAGACGTTTGCGCCAGATCCTTACTTGCTGAAACGACAACGGAACAGAGAAGCGCACTTTAAACACTAAATCGGAGTCAGTTCAATGCATGCCAGCCCTAGCCCCATACACACGCACAACTAAAAATGAGTCAAAGGGGTGTTGACACTCACCTCGGACCAGCTGGGTGCACTTGACAACATGCGTGTGTGGATGGTCGATGGTGATTTCAAACGCTGCAAGAGCAGGGGACAAAACAAAAACCAAAAAAGATGAGTCCGCCGCCAATCGCAATAAAAGGCGCGCTCCAAATCGACTGCGTTCGCCCAAACAAGAGTTCAGTGTCATTTGCACGGGGCCTTCCAATAACACTCTGTCCTCAATGAAAAGGTCTCTTGAGACCAACGGGATGTCCGACTAGCTTTGAGGCCAGCAAATCTGACTGATGCCATTTTCCCTCGGACTGAATACACAGACGGGGAGGGATCTGGCAGGGGGGAAAGGTGGGGGGGTTGCAAGGATTTGGCTATTTCAGTGGCTTGGTGAAGCACAAACGTGACTTTGCGCCATTGCCAACTGCGTATGGCGTCTCTGTTGGACAGAAGTCAAAACAGGTTACTACTTCTTGAGAATAATGGGGAGGGGATTAAAAAAAAAAAGAGAATTCAAGGGAGCCAGGCTTTCCTTCCCAACTTACCCAAGGTCTGGAGTATTATGCTCTCAAGAATGACCAGGTCTTGGGCTTGTTGCAGGTAGGCCTGAGGTTGAGAGGACAGGCACATTACTCACTGCGAGGCCGCTATCCGTCGGCGCACAAGATCAGCCGGTCATGCAGTTTGCTCTCAGTCACGTCAAATGATCTCGACGGCTTCCGGAGGTGATCCCGGGAAGCGGAGTTTTTTTCCGCCATCCGTCTTTTCAAAATGCCGGGTGACCGACCGCATGTGCCACTTCGGAACCAAATAGCCAAAGGCAACGTCAAACCTTTGCGCAGGTTGATTTGACGCGGACCGGAAGACACGACTGTGCCCATTTGGGTAAAAGGAGTGCGCTGGTTCCAAAAGGGAGACTTTTGATGACCTCAAACTTACATCGCTGCGTACGTCCGGCGAGGGCTCCTGCGGATTGAGGCAGGCGTGGGCCACCTTGATCACGTGTTCCAGCTTTCGGGGCTGCTCCTCCACCTTGGCGGCCAGGAAAAGAGCCGCTGGAGAAATGACCTGAGAGACGGGGGGTGGGGGTGCTGGGGTCAACAGGTGCGAAATGAAATCATGTTGGGAAGCACACAAGTAGCATCATACTCACGTTTCGGTGAAATCTGGTGAATGACTGGACCATGTAGAAGCGATGCATGTACACGATGGCTGTATTAATGGTAAGCTGGGACCTAACATATGCTCGTTAAGTAGCGTCAACGTTTGAATGGCATCAAACTGATCAAATGGAATGTGGTCACGTCGGGCCCGTGACTCGCACCAGAGCATGACCCCCAACATGACTGACACGCCGCACAAGGCACAATCCACACTAAATCTCAAGACTTCAAACCCCTCGTGTCCGCGTTACACTGATTGCTTACAATGTATGTGACCGGTTAATGGGGCGTTTGCTCGTTCGTGTCTTTCTTGACATGCTTCAGTGCCAAGCAAGCACGCCGGCACCCGCAAACGCTGCGAGAGATTTGTGTCAACCCGGGGGCCTTGATTTTCGAAAATTACTTGGAAGTTCTTCATCATTATATAGCGTATGCTTCTGTGTTCGGCAAGCTTTCAGAGGATAGCAACCATTAGAAATGAGACTAAAGATTAAGTTACGCCAGAGTTCAACTCTGGTTCAAAAACAAAAGGTCCCACCTCAAATGTGGACCGCAACGGAACGACGTCTTCGCGTTGAGATGTTTTCGAGTCGTAACGGTATTACTTGGCGCAGGAAAACGATACGTCTTTCATTGGGATCGTTTTTTTAAAATGATCTGATGGCTAGCGCCGTCTCGTGCAAATCAACTACGCTTGGAAATGGAACGCGAATAGCGGTGTGCTGCAAAGCAAGGAGAATTGTCCCTCCCTCGATTTGGCTCGTGAAAACGATTCCGGGTTACTTGAAGTGCACCAAACAACGCGCTGGAAGCCAAGTCTTCCTTAGGTCGGAGGGGAAGTCGGTAAAATCCCCCCCAAAAAAAGTGGAATTACAGCGCGAGCTAAAGCTAGGGAAAACGCGCTCACGTCAAGGCCCGAGGCCTTCGCGGCTCGGCTGCTGCCAAATCAAAATCTCTGGCGTGTTCGTTCGCACGACAGTCACAAAAACGCGGCGAAAAAAAAAACCACTCCGGCCGGCGCGAGCTCCTTAAACAAACGAACGGGACAAGAAGGAAGATGGGAAGGAAAGCAGGAGGCGCCGAGTCGAACGGAACGAGAAGAGCCGCCGCTAGCCCGGCTAGCCGTTAACGAGCTCAAGCGGCTAACGCGGCCAAAAGATACACATTGAGCCGCTGCCCCATGTCCTGCAGCAGGTTGGCCGCCTGTTGCCTGTACGACAGCTCCTTGTCCGGGTCGAGCCCGGCTCGCCGAGATGGGTTGTTGTCGATCTCTTGCCGGCTGTAGTACCATTTGTTATTACAGCTAGCGGAGACACAACGAAGCGAAGCCGCCATCACTGACGAGGGAGGGGGGGACACTAGTTTAAAAATTGCAGCGCGTCACCGGAAGTGCGTCATGCGCCAACATGCCCCCCCCCCTTTACGTGGAGGTGCGCTTTCCTCGAGGTCGACAGCAGGTGCCAAGAAAAATCAAGGCAGAAACACCCCCTCCCCACCACCACCTTATTCATACAGTGGACCCCGCATACCTAGTCGCGAATCCTCCCCTTCCCCCAAAACCCTTTTTTTTAAATATTGTGGGGTTTTTTAGGGGGGGGGGGGTTGGGAGGGGATGATCCACTTTTCATAAAAACGCTTAATGGCAGTATTTCCCCAGCTTATTCGAG